TAATTAGTGGGGGGGAATAAATGTGTTGTACCAGGTCGAAGTAGGCAGACGAGAAGACGGTGTTGTAGTCAGTGTGTAGGTGCAGAGGACGTTGGGAGCAGTGGAAAGGTCGTGTAAACATTCCGGCATCAGTGGGGACGAACAGTTAATTCAAGATTAAGATGGAGGCCCGAAGGCATAATGTTGATCGGTGAGTAAGTGGGAAACGAGTAGATGATTACGGATGAAGAATGGTGGAAGTATTTTTTGGAAGTAGGATAGTGCGAGTGGAACGATTAGATGACACGTCGCGGAGATTGTTTTAATGAAAAAGGTAGGAAATTACATCGGACGCCGATGAAAACCAGGCAGCAGGAACCGAAAATCAGGGAGGGCCGGGAGATACCCAGTCCAGATCTAATGCAGATGATGATGAAGATATTAGAAAAACAGAGAGAATAGCGAGAACAAAATAGGAAATTTAGAAGAAACAGAAAGAATCGCAGAAGACAGAGCAGCGAAAGCGGAGGAACAGAATAGGAAGATGATTGGAAGAACAGAAAAGAATGGGGGAAGAACAGCTTTTTTAGGATTAACTTACAGTTAATACTGCATTACCTCTTGTATGTCGGCTAGATAGTTGTCGGTTGTCTGTGTATTGCCTTCCGGCATTCGTCTGGTGTAATCCCGGGAAAGCGATGAAATACTACATCAAAACAGACGGTCGCTAGAATTCGCATCCAGACGTCCGATAAGGCTAGCAACACCCACTTTCAAGGAACTGAAACATTCTTGATCATCAGTTTGGTATTCCAGCAGCCTTCCAAAAATGCGCCTCCCAAAACCCCAATATTAAAGATATGAAATCGGGTTCGTAAAACTAGCATTCCCACCTACATTCAAAATCGACATTTTTACCATCGAAAAAACAGCGAATTTTGGATTTACTTTTGACCTCTGTTCGAAACTAAACCCTACATTAGAAAACGAAAAATGAAAGCACCCCAATTTCCCAAAACTCGGTAAATCTCTTGCATGACGCATTTGGCAATTGCGAAAATTTTGGAAAAATGGGTTATAAAGCTAGCACGCCCACTTTACTCAAAATATATAAAATAGATCGAAACAAGTGAAATTAGGGCTGCCCTGGGCACTTTAGAAACTTTCAACTCGCTTCTAAAACTTTCAAGAACAAAATATTAAACTACTCCAATCACAAAATTCTAAAAATTCTTCCACAATCCAAAAATCGTTACAAATAGAGACAGATTTTTTTTGCTTAAAACCAAAGACCGTAAAGCTAATTCGTCAAAAAGGGGCGTTAAAGCAAAACACCCCACGTGCTCGAACCTAATAGATCATGCCGCTATGGGATGTTGCTCTAAATAGAGACAACCACAAACAATTTAGCCACATTCTTTCATTTACGATTTCAAAAATGGGCCTGAGGAAGCATTCCCACATATTTGCTAGTCTCTAAAACATTTATTATCACGAAAGAAAGCACTGAGGGCCACTTTACAGACATTCTATCAAAATAACAATATATTCAGCCACAATGCAAAAAAATGTGGTTTTAACAGCTTCGACAACTAATTATATATATATGTCGCTCATATTGTAGGATTGAGCTACATAATGTTATATAAGCTACGAATAAGCATCTAGCATAAAGGCGCTGTCAATTTGAATGATAATTTTTAAAAAACAAACTATAGATATTTACGAAATAATTTAGCGGCATAATTATTAGTCAATTCGGACATATCCTTGAAAGTAATGCCATACATTGAACATTTTATCATGCAGTACAATTTTCACAATTTAAAATCAAACGATTTTTCAAACGATTTAAACATTTAATTATAAGTACGATACACAAAGGCCACAATTTATGTATTTATTTCCATTTATTCGTTTGTTCGTTTCATTCGGTTTGTTCGTTCGTTTTATTCGTTCGTTGGTTCTTGGTACGTTGGTGGTTTCGTATCGTCCGTCCGTGCATTTATTCAGTTGTTCATTCGTGCATTTCTTCGTTCTTTCATTCGTGCATTTTCTTCGTTTCTTCATTCGTGGCAATTTCTTCGTTTCTCATTCGTGATTTCTTCGTTTCGTCTTCGGCATTTCTTCGTTTCTTTATTTGTGCATCCTTCCTTTCTTCGTTTCCTCCCTTTCCTCCTTTCTTCCTGTCCTTTCCTTTCCTCCTTTCCTCCTTTCCCCTTTCCTCCTTTCCTCCTTTCCTACCTTTCCCCCTGTTTCCCCTTTCCTCCTTTCCCCCTTTCCTCCTTTCCTCCTTTCCTCGCTTTACTCGCCATACTCGCATACTCGCATATCGCCATACTCGCATACTCGCATACTCGCATACCGCATACTCGCATTACTCGCATACTCGCATTACTCGCAGTACTCGCATACTCGCCATACTCGCATACTCGCATTACTCGCATACTCGCATACTCGCATACTTCGCTACCGCATACCCGCATACCCGCATCACTCGCTTTACTCGCTTACTCGCTTTACTCGCTTTACTCGCTTCTACTCGCATTTACTTCGCTTTACTCGCTTTACTCGCTTTACTCGCTTTACTCGCTTTACTCCGCTTTACTCGCTTTACGCGCTTTACTCGCTTTTTACTCGCTTTACTCGCTTTACTCGCTTTACTCGCTTTCTCGCTTTACTCGCTTTACTCGCTTTACTCGCGTTACTCGCTTTACTCGCTATTTACTCGCTTTACTCGCTTTACTCGCTTTACTCGCTTTTACTCGCTTTACTCGCTTTTACTCGCTTTACTCGCTTTACTCGCTTTACTCGCTCTTTACTCGCTTTACTCGCTTTACTTCGCTTTACTCGCTTTACTACGCTTTACTCGCTTTACTCGCTTTACTTCGCTTTACTCGCTTTACTCGCTTTACTCGCTTTACTCGCCTTTACTCGCTTTACTCGCTTTACTCGCTTTACTCGCTTTTACTCGCTTTACTCGCTTTACTCGCTTTAACTCGCTTTACTCGCTTTACTCGCTTTACTCGCTTTACTCGCTTTACTCGCTTTACTCGCTTTTACTCGCATTTACTCGGCTTTTACTCGCTTATTACTCGCTTTACTCGCTTTAACTCGCTTTACTCGGCATTTACTCGCTTTATCGCTTTACTCGCTTTACTCGCTTTGACTCGCTTTACTCGCTTTACTCGCTTTACTCGCCTTTACCTCGCTTTACTCGCTTTACTCGCTTTACTCGCTTTACTCCACGCTTACTCGCTTTATCGCTTTAACTCGCCTTTACTCGCTTTACTCGCTTACTCGCTTTACTCGCTTTACTCGCCTTTACTCGGCTTTACTCGCTTTACTCCTGTACTCGCTTTACTCGCTTTACTCGCTGTTACTCGCCTTTACTCGCTTTACTCGCTTTACTCGCTTTACTCGCTTTTAACTCGCTGTTACTCGCTTTACTCGCTTTTACTCGCTTTACTCGCTTTACTCGCTTTACTCGCTTTACTCGCTTTAACTCGCTTTACTCGCTTTACTCGCTTACTCGCTTTACTCGCCTTTACTCGCTTTACTCCTTTACTCGCCTTTACTCCTTACTCCTTTACTCTTTTTACTCATTTACTCATTTACTCATTTTACTCATTTACTCATTTACTCATTTGACTCATTGACTCGATTTACTCATTACTCATTTACTCATTTACTCATTTACTCATTTACTCATTTACTCATTTACTCCTTTACTCCTTACTCCTTTACTCCTTTACTCCTTTACTCTTTACTCCTTACTCCTTACTCCTTTTACTCCTTTACTCCTTTACTCCTTTACTCCTTTACTTCCTTTACTCCTTTACTCCTTTACTCTTTACTCCTTTACCTCATTTTACTCATTACTCATTTACTCATTTACTCATTTACTCATTACTCATTACTCATTTACTCATTACTCATTTACTCATTTACTTCATTTACTCATTTACTCATTTACTCATTTACTCATTTACTCATTACTCATTTACTCATTTACTCATTTACTCATTTTATCATTTACTCATTTACTCATTTAACTCAGTTTACTCATTTACTCATTTACTTCATTGACTCATTTACTCATTTACTCATTTACTCATTTTACTCATTTACTCATTTACTCATTTACTCTATTTACTCATTTACTCATTTATTCATTTAGTTCATTTATTCATTTATTCATTTATTTCATTTATTCATTTATTCATTTTATTCATTTAATCATTTATTCATTTATTCATTTATTCATTTATTCATTTATTCAGTACGGTTATTCATTTTTCATTTATTCATTTCTTTCTTTCTTCATTATTCATTTCTTCATTTTCTTCATTTCTTCATTGTATTCATTTATTTCCATTTCTTCATTTATTCATTTATTCATTTATTCCATTTATTCATTTATCATTTATTCATTATTCATTTATTCATTTATTCATTTATTCATTTATTCATTTATTCATTTAATTCATTTATTCATTTATTCATTTATTCATTTATTCATTTATTCCATTTATTTCATTTATTCATTTATTCATTTATTCATTTATTCATTTATTCATTTATTCATTTATTCATTTATTTCATTATTCATTTATCATTTATTCATTTATTCATTTATTCATTTATTCATTTATCATTTATTCATTTATCATTTATTTCATTTATTCATTTATTCATTTATTCAATTATTCATTTATTCATTTATTCATTATTCATTTATCATTTATTCATTTATTCATTTATTCATTTATTCATTTATTCATTTATTCATTTATTCATTTATTCATTTCAGACATTTGCACAGACAAAAGTATGTACATTATTATTCTGCTGAAGAATAAATCCAGAGCGCGGGCCTGTTATCAGTCAATTTTCCCCCAGAGCAGCAGTTTTTTTTCAAAAGATTTCTCGTTTATAAAAGAAAAGAATACAAAAAATAATCGGAAAAAAAATTAATAAACAAAGAAAAGAAGAAAGAAGCATATATTTCAAAAGAATACGAAAATTCGAAGTACAGAAAGTAAAAAAGTAGTTATCACAATATAGTTTAATTTCATGATTCTCATTGAAAAACTGAAGAAACTGTCTCATCGCTAAGCTCAATTATAAAGTTTCTAAGCAATTTCTTTGAATGTTTACGCAGTTTATCGTAGCTGGTATTTTTGAGTTCACTACTCAGTAAATTAAAAATCCTATAACTAATACAATTATGGTTACATCGACTGATTTCTTTCACAATTTTCGGCGGTGTCTTGTTTCTTGTTAATCTCTTGTCTCAATAACTTGTTTCTCTTATTATTTTTACATAGTGATATATATTTCTGTTTAAGATCGTCAAAATTATTCAAAAGAGATTTTTCTAAAAAAAAATTTCCTTATAGAGACAAGTCTATACGTTTTAAAAAGTAATTAAGAGGATTAAAGTTTGGTTTTTCTATAAACGATTTTAAGTATTCTCTTTTGAACATCTTGTAGCAATTTAATTGCGTTATAATACACACCACCCCATGTTATAATTCGATAAGTCGCAGTATTCCAAAATAACGCATAATACATTATTAACAATTGTTTATCGCTAAAAATACTCCGCAATTTATAAAACACATAAATTAAATAATGGACTTTATTTGTGACTTGTGTGATATGTTGTTTCCACTTCAAATTTGAGTCAACACATATTCCAAGATATTTGGCTGAATTCACTCGTGTCATAAATGGACAATTATACATATCACTATTAATATCACACGAACTACTATGTAACTGTAGCTCAATATTTGAAGGTATGCTGTCAACATAACTACCATAGGTTATGAAAACAGTTTTTTGTATATTTAAGGTTAGGAAATTTACATTTAACCATTTCGCAATTAGACTCAATTTACCTTGCGCTAAATCCTTTACTTCAGACCAAGTTTTAGCTTTAACAATTAGCGTAGTGTCATCAGCGAAAGACAAAACTTCACCCTTTGGTAGAATATCAAAAAATCATTAATATATAGTATGAAAAATATAGGACCGAGAATGGTTCCTTGAGGAACTCCACAAGTTACATTTAACTCGTCACTGATAATATTATTGATTTTTACTACATGCTTTCTCCCAGTAAGATAACTTTCAATTAATTTGTTGGCAATTCCTCTAAATCCATAGTTATACAACTTTTTCAACAGAATTTTGTGATTGACCGTCTCAAAAGCCTTTGCTAAGTCCAAAAACACCGATAAACACGGAGTGTTATTATCGATAGCAAGGGTGATTTGGTCAGTGACATATTTTAACGCATGTTCAGTACTCTTATTTTCCTGGAATTCAAATTGGTATTTATTTATAATATTATGCATATTTACAAAATTTATTAATATTTTAAGAACTTTCTCAAAACCATTTTTAAATTGGAAACCTAACCTAACCTTTCTACCAGTGGCAGCTCCTTGGAGTAGGTAAGGAAGGGACTGTCTACCCTCATGAATAGGTACTAGTTTATCCATTTCATAAAAATAAAAAAATAAATGACTTACAATATTTTAATATGGTGTAAATATTATTCATCAGAAAATGTTTAATGACCATTTCATTTTTTTGAATTTATTTATATACGTCAAAACAGTTAGAAACTCTGTGTGGCGTGCTATGGGGAGAAGTTAATTTGAAGTTACGTTTATGTCCAGAAGCAAAACAAGGGGCCATCTCAGCATTTGCTCGAGGATCAGGGAAACTGGTCGGTGGTTAATATGTCATTTTAAAAATTAATATCACTTTCCTTTTGGATGCTCACGACAATCTCTAATTGTATAGAAACAGTTGCGCAGCAGAAAAGATTTTACTTAGGACTTAAATTTTTGTATCGAATTTAATCGTTTAATGTCATTTGACAAGACGTTGTAAAATAATGTACTGTAATGTATTATGTATTATGTAAATAATGTATTATATGTGAATTTTTTGTAGTGAGCTGTTGATACTGTTACCTGATGAATATGATTACTGCGTCGAGTGTTGTAGTTAGACAACGGCGTTTGCTGAAAATATATTCCCGCCCTTAAGTCATTTTTGACAAAAAACAATGATTCATATATGAAGAGAAAAGATAATGGTAAAGTACCTAGATTAATAAAGAGAGGCTTACAAGAATCACGTGGGTGGGATTTAATTATTATTGGTAAAATTATTTTTTGTAATCTAAAAGTCTGGGAGCTATAAGATGTATTTCCCCAGAATATTGTGCCATATCTCAGGCGGGTATGAACATTCGCAAAATATACACAACGAGCAGTTTGTAGGCTGTCTGAATTTGAAAGAATTCTGAAAGTATAGCATAACCAACTTAATTTAGTGGTCAATTCATTTAAATGGACGTTTCATGTAAGGTTTGACTGACTTGAAAGACCTAAAAATGTTGTTACCTTAACATCAGTCAATGGGACGCCGTTCATTTTCAGAGAAGTACCGAGCTGTTTAGTTGACATGGAGAATTGTATTGAATTGAATGAATGCGCATTTACTTATTTATGCCTCTGGCTGAGTTCTATCCATAGGTCTCTTGTGTGGCGTAATGTTATGAGAATCGGCAAGTTTACTTTGAGGATCTGAGATCGAGTCTGCGGGGAAAAAATTGCAATGTGTTGTAAAATAATGTGCTTGTGCATGTATTGTATGTTATTTTCTTTGTAGAGAGCTGTTGATACTGAATCCAGATCAATATGAATTGCTATGTCGTTTGTTATTGACAACTGCATTAGCTGAACATGTGTTTTAATCATTGATTAAGTCATTTTTTAATTTTTTACGAAAACCACTTATTCATAAATCAACAAGAAAGGTATGGTAGAACTCGTAGCTTAAGAAAGTGAGTTTGAGGGGAGGGGGGGGCAGTGTGGAAAAATGTGGACAAATGGTATTCCAGAGGTGATCCACGTAATATGTGGAAATTATTTCTTAGACGTTGTCCACACAGTAATCTTTAAACTAGCCACGTAGATCTTCATTGGACAAGGGCGAAGTGTGTTTTCAGGGTTAATTCGTAAAAATGTTGATTTTCAATGTACTTAACATGAACACTTGATTTTTAGTCGTCTTCTGCACACAGTAAAAGTATTTTTCATTTTGGACGTGATACTTAAACACAATTTTCAAAATAGAGCAATATATGGAGTTATGTCACGTAATAAACAAGGAGAAGTGGCTCAGGGCATCAACAGATGTCATTGTAGAGCCTCTGACCGGGAAGTCCTACGTTCGAATCCCAACGCAGGCAGGATTTTCAACACTAGCTAGATAGTTAGGTCGAATTCAGTCGCTGTCTAAAGGAGAATTCTAGCGACCGGCTGCTCTGATTAGTAGTTTTCGTGGTTTCTCCGATCAATACTACGCGAATGCCGGAGCAGTACCCTATCAAGCGGGCCACGGACCGCGCGCGATCTTTTCTTCCCATTCTTTGCCCTACTACCCCTTACTTACACTCACACACTCAACAATCACACACACACACACACACACACACACACACACACACACACACACACACACATGCACTACACTACCACACATGCTGGAAGATCGGCGGTGCCCCGCCGGTGGGAGATAGCTGGTTGAGGGTAAACCCCGCTAGCTGACGGTAAGTCGGCGACGAATCTCGCTATCCAACGAGACAAAATCACTGCTACCTCTCGAGCAAAAAACAAGCATGACACTTACGGGATTAATGTCCTTATGAGTTGACGCGCCCGGAATCATTAGTAATTAATCAATTATGTAATAACATATTTTCCTAACGTAAATCTGTAAAGTCGAATCAACGATATATTCACATTTCATATCAGTTAGTGCCAATAAAGTTAATTTTTAGTACATATTTTTACATTTATAACGAAAAGTACATATTTGTACATATTATTGAATTTTTCTATTTTTCTAATTTAAAAAAAATGTAATTCATAATTTTTCCTGTACTTTTTCTTATTTGTTGCGTCAACTTAGATGCAATGCGTCTTCAAGCCTCTTGAGGACCGTTGAACGCTTCGCACTTTTGGAGTAATCCTCCATTAATTAACATAGTCCGGCACGTCTCGCGTCAGTTATTTGTCAAGAGGATCGCCAGATACATCTCCGCGTGCCGCCTCCTCTTCCGCGCCGCTGCGTGACCACCCAGAAGGAGAGGGCAAGCCCTTCCTGTCGTAACGAATTTTCCATTAGGTTCTACGGGGAAGCTACTGGCGTCGTACCCGGAACCTCAGTGGTGATAGGCAAGCGACTTCGCCACTGAGCCACGAGAGCTTCTCGTTTTTTTGTTGTTGTTTTTTTTTAATTTATTTTTCTGCCTGTTCGGCATAATATGCCTTTCAGGGGTTTGAATTTACAATTTATTATTACACATAATTTTTGGCCTTTCGGCTGACAGTATTTGAGGAGGACCACACGGCTACCTCGTAAACAAAGTCTGCAGAGCAGTAATTCAAAAGAAATTTATTTAATGTTTTTAATTAATGCATTTATTTGTTGTTTTTTTCAGCAGCGGAATTGAATAATGGGAGGGGATGGAAATTATTCTAATTTAAGGTGGTTTAAGAGTCTTTGTGGTATCGAGAGATAATGCGGGTTGGGATGGGAGAATTTTTGCCTAGATCAAATTTTTGTGCACTTGTACACGACGGAAGTAGGGTGAAAAATCAGTTACTCATCCGTTGAATATATTCGTTAATGGAAGGAATGTTCAGCTCTCTGTGAATTTGCATATTTGGAATAAACCAAGGGGCTTGTACGGCTTTTCTTAGATACTTGTT